GCTCCGGCCAGCATGGGGGAGAGCTGAAGGTTTCTAACGGCCCCTCTTGGGCCAGGGTTTGGTGTCAGCAGGCGGCTCCGACACACCCCCAGCTAATCCCTCTTTGTTTCTTTCTTCCCCAGCTGCGCCCTCTGTCCCAGGGGCTTTCTCCCTCCACCAACCAGCCTTCTGGAGTTGAAAGCCAAGGAGAAAAGACGGCAGACTGCTGGAGAGACAGCTGATCAGGGTAAGATCAGCTGTTCTCACAGGGTGGGTGGAGCCCAGCCAGGCCAGAGAGCCTGGGCGCCTGCTGTAGCTCCTCATGGCCAGAAGCCGGGACTTTACCCCAGCAAACCAGAATAAATATAGTTACGATGCATTGCAGTCGCAGTAACAATAATAGCAGTAGTACTTTAGCTAGCTTTTATTGGGTATTATCCCATTAAATTATAAAAACAACCCTCTGGCCAGGCGTGGTGGTGCACACCTGTCATCCCAGTGGCTTGGAAGGCCGAGGCAGGAGGATTGTGAATTCAGAGTCAGCCTCAGCAATATAGTGAGGCTGTGAGCAACTTAACAAGACCCTGTCTCAACATGCAAAAATTAAAAAGGGCTGGGCTGGGGATGTGGCTCTGAAGTAGCACCCCCTTTCTCCCCCGGAAAAGTCTTAACTGGGCTTCTCCGGAAATCTTCACCATGGCTGATTTTAGGCCTGTCAGCAAAAGAGTCTCTGCAAAAGAGTTCAATGTAGATAAACTTCCTATTTTCATGTTGCCCTGTTTTACTTGGCCGCTGGCCGGGAAGAAATCAGCACTCCAGGTGCTGGACACCCCCTTACTAGTTTCTCACAAACATGTATCCAGTATAGTAGTTTGTAAAAATGTGTAAACAAGGCCTCTGGCCTTGAGCTGAGGCTTCACAGAGATGTCTACATTTCTAAGATAAGAGAAGTTACCAACTGGGCTCCATGGTAACAGCTGGCAGGGGGAGGAAAGAAAGGGGAGAAGAAGCTCTCCCCTTCTCAGATGTTGTCCTTGAAGAGTTAACTTGCCCAGAACAGAGAAAGAAAAAGCTGCTTTTATGTGAACTTCTGCAGACTGTGAACTTCTGAGCCCCTCCCCTTACATGCTGGGTATAAAACTCTGAAACTCCCTGAACTCAAGATTCAGGGATTGACTGATTACAGCAAAAGCTGTGCCCTCTGAACTTGGCTGCAGCCAAATAAAACTGTTTCTTGCTATCTTCGGTGCCTTACCTCATCTGTCTCTACAGTAGCTCATGATTAAATGCTCCTGGGTTCAATCCCTCATAACAAAAAGAAAAATAAAACACCAAAAAACAGCCCTCTGCAGCACAGAGAGATTAAGCCAAGTCTCTAAGGTCACCCAGCTCAGCAGCTGGGGAGTCTGTAGGTGACCTCTGCCAATTCTGATTCTGCTGGGCTGGATGGCACAGTGGGGTCTGACCCAGGAATTCCCCTTGGTGCACGGGACTTGTGGTGACGGTAAATGGGATGTTTTTGAGAACTCTCTGGTCTCTGTGGTTAGATTCAGGTTTGCCATGATAGGTATCAGAACCATAAAATGGAGAGACCTGCGAGCCAGGTGGGAGGGCTGGACTTCATTCTGCCATGAGTGGGGAGCCGGCGGAGGTTTGGAGCAGAAAGGGGGCTTCCTGGAAGAAGCACTGGGCATAACCCTGAGCGCTGTGCATTGCGGGTTCAGTGGACCAGAGGGGGAGTCAAGAAACCCGTGGGGTTACTAGAGCTGTCAAGGCGACCAGCTGTCACATTGGGAATGCCCTCTCTTCTTTCTGGGCCCTGCTGTTGGGAATCCGAGGCAGTTGGCATTTGAAGGCATCTAAGAGGTCTTGGATGTCCTGACCCCAGCTGGGCCAATAGATGCAGAGGAAAAGGGAGTGGTGAGGAGGCTTTCAAGAGTGGGTTATTGCCAGGCATGGTGGTGTGCACCTGTAATCCTGATGGTTCAGGAGGCTGAGGCAGGAGGATGGCAAGTTCAAAGCCAGCCTCAGCAAAAGTGAAGGTACTAAGCAACTCCGTGAGAACCTGTCTCTAAATAAAACACTAAATAGGGCTGGGATGTGGCTCAGTGGTTGAGTGCCCCTGAGTCCAATTCCTGATACCTCCCCCCAAAAGAAAAAGAGTGGGTTATTTTACAGGACCCAGGTCTGAGTGAATGGAGGGATGATGGTGGGGTAGAAATCAACCTCATTCCAAAGTGGCAGGAGAGAGGCATGGCATGCAGATGGCCAGGACAAGGTCTCAGTGTGCCCAGGGCTCCTCCCCAAACAACAGCAGCACCCCACAGGCCTGGATGAGACCCTTGAAGCTGAGTGTTCCTTAACCTCGAGAGAAGCTCTTTGGATTTCAGCGGCCCTCTAAGGACTGGGGCCTTTCACAGAATTCCACCTTTGCTTTTCGGGTGTGGAAGAGCCATGATGTTTAATGCTTAAGGCTCCGCAAAGGAGTGGGAGGAGCTTGTGTTAGGTGGGAGGGAGGCAAGGTCACAGATGGCCCAGGAAGAGGTGTGTGTGTGTGTCTGTGTGTGTGTGTGTGTGTGTGTGTGTGTGTGGTAGAGGACAATGTCTGGAAAGGAAGCTGGTAAGGTGTCTGCCGAGGCCCTCAGAAGAGAGGAGAATTCCAAGCACAGAAGTTAAGAGGGGACAGTGGCTGGCAGTCTCTCAAAATGTTAAAATCCAGGGGCACCTGTGGCTCTCCAAGTTTCCCCAGGTACCAGAGGAGGCCTGAGGAGACCACCCTGCCTGCGTCCTCTGTGACACTCACTGTGACGACACACTCTCTTGTGTGAACACCCTAAGGATTTATGCGCGCATGATCGAGTGGCGATATTTCAGGCCCTGAGACACCTGGGTGGGGGAGAAGCTTGGGGGCAGCATGACCTTCATGAAATAACTGAGAAGACACCTGTGCTGCAGCTGCTGAGAGGGCGGCCGACGTCCCTCCGGCTTGTGCACTGAGTCTCGGGCTGGATAAAAATACCCAGAGCCGCGCCTGGGAGGCCGGCGGAGGCTGGGGACTGAGCTGCTTCTTGTCAGGGGAAGGAGCCTCTCTCTTTTTCTGTCTCTCTTTTGTTCTTTTTCTTTTTGTTTTCTCTAGAATAAGGAGGTAGGGATTCTCTAGGATGAGGCTTGGGTTTGCTGTCCCTCCTGCTGGGACAGCCTTGGCCCTGGCCCTGGCCCTGCCCAGCCAGGCAGGGGCTTGCTTTTATGTTATTCCCAGTCCTTGGGATGGGCAGAAGCCGGTGGGGTGGCCCGTAAGGAGGTTGCTGAAGGGTGCTTTTCATCTATTTCTAGACCTTGTGATGGACCAACCTTGACTTTAGCTACTTAAAAATGCTGCCGTTGAATGTGCAGGGCATGGGGTGAGGGCAGGATTCAGGCAGGCAGCGCGGGGAGCCAGGCTCTGCTCCATGTGGCCTGTCCGGCAGCGCTGGACTCAGGATCCCCAAGAGTATGGGGGGGGAGTACAGGGGGGAGGGGCCAGGCCTCCTACACTAGGTTGAAATCGGCCCCTGCTGGGTCTCACTGGCTCTAGTGGGTACCCAGTGGCTACCCAGTGTGTGGTGGTGGGAGGCACATCCCCCAGTGGGCAAGGTTACCCAGAGGTCATCCTAGGCCTGTCATGACCCCTTTGCCCCAAGGCTGCAGCTCTTGGAACTAGAGGGAGTCTCTTGTCCTGATTCTGCCTCTTTGGGGGGGGCACTGCACCCCACCTTTCTGCCTGTCCAGAACCTACTGCTCTTGCCTCCTGGGCTGGCAGCAGGGAGCCCTCCGCTCACCATGCCAACACCATCCTGGAGATCCATGTCTCCCCTTCTCCTTCGCACCCTCTGCTCCTCTATGTCCCACCCCCAACCAAGGTCATCCCCTGCCTGCCATCCTCCCTGGTCACCAGCGCCTATTGACCTTCCCGGCTCAAGGGCATTGCCCTATGACCCATGTGCTCTGTTGTAGCCTTGAACTTTTAATTCCCTCTGAAAATGTCCTCTGCACCTGATTGACAGGGGACATTGTCTCCTGCACCTGAGTGACAGCCCCTTGGGCCCAGAGTCTAACTAAGCCTAGAACAGTAGGGAATGCTTGTCAAGGTGAACTGGTACCAGGCAGGCGGGACAGATGGTCACTGTGGTGACAGTACCTTCCAACTAGGGCCTGGGGTGGTGGCAACAATAACCACCCTGGTCTCTTGCCAAGAGGCCATATGCACCCGAGCAAGGAGCTGGCTGGTGACGGGAGCAGCTGGTGGGAGACAAGAGGGGCGCGTGGCTGGGGCTGGGCTGTCTTGGAGAGAGCCCTGTAACCCTGCAAGGCACTTGTCCCCTGGTCCTTCCTGGCCTTTTTTCGGGGTGGGCCAGGACCACATTGCAGATGAGGTCAGTGGGCTGGTAAGGGGCAGGGCCAGCTGAAGGCGTCTGACCCCAGGGCCCTGCCTCATGTCCCCGGGCCGCCTTCTCCAAGGCTTCCTCCCCTTCCTGGCTCCCGAGAAGGAACGTGGCCATGCCTGTCCGAGGGAGCAGTCTCAAGGAGTGGCCACACCGCAGTGAAGTGGGGGGCGGGGGACATAAGTGGCTGTGGAGGGCATGAGAAATGGCATTCTTTATTCATAAATAAAAACATAAAATTACCAGAAGTAGTTTACATGGCCAAAAAGTGACATCAAAAACAAAATAAAACGAAGCTGTCAAAAGCAAAGCAAACCAGAAACGACAAAGAAAAAGAACTATGTACACAGCCTCCCAAGTACCATTCCATCAAGGCCAGCTTCTGCCCCCAGAGGCAGCACGAGGAGCCGCTGAACAGAGCGGGCAGCGAGGCCCTCGTGGCCAGGGGTGCTGAGACTCCCCCAGCCCGGCCTGGCTGCCCTTGAGAGATGGCCCAGGCCAGGGACAGGGACAAGAGCTCAGCAAAGGCCTCTCGGGGCAAAGCTGCCAAGCCTCCAGTCCCCCGCTGAGCTCCGGGCCCTGGGGCTACGAAGAATATACTGTGAGGCGTCCCTCCTTGGTGGGTGGTGTGGAATGACCTCTCTCTGCAGAGAGCTGGAGCATCGTCAAGCCAGGCAGCTTTGCGGGCGCAGAGCAGGTCTGAGTGAGCAAGCTGGCCCGGGGCATCAGCCCTGAGCCTGCACTCCCCAGTTCCTGCTCAACCTTGCTGTTCAGAGCCTCCCTCTGAGAGGCTGGGCGGGGCGGGGCCCAAGAGTGGCAAAGGTGCCTTTCAACAGGAAAGGGAAGAAACCCACCGGAAGGCCCGGTTGCTAGGTTACAGCTCACTTGTGTCAGGTGCAACCTTAGGCTGCCCTGGGGCCTTGGGCTAGTGGCAGCCCAGGAACAGCTCCTGCCATCTTGGATGCTGGGCAAGGCCTGGGTGGATGTGTCTGGGATGGGATGGGCAGGGACAGGGGGAAGATGGAGGTCCCTGTGAGTGGGGGCACACACACTGAGGTGGAGAGCAGGCTTTGTTCCCGAGGGCCTGTCCTGGGGACATCACCTCTTCATCCTCATCACCTCTGCTCAGGCCAGGTCCTGAGGGCAGAGCACTAGGCTTCTGGCTGCTGGGGTGGGGGGTGGGGCAACCAGTCTCCTCCTCTCTCTCTGTGGCGTATTCTCACTGGGAGAAAGGACTCAAGGCACAGGCTGGTGGAAATGGAGGAACCAACGGCCATGGGACCAAGCATGGGGCGTCTTTAACCAGGTCTAAACTGTGCCCGTGGAGGGTACTGCCCTCAGGGAGGGAGGCGGTTCTGGGCATGTCCATCCCAGCTTCAAGTCCAGTCTGTGGCTAAGAGCAATGGTTTGACATTCCAGAGGACCGCCCCTGTCAGGCGAGGACACAGGACAGGCACAGTTACCCAGGGAACGGAAGGCAGCGCTAGCTAGCCACAGGGATGGTGCCCTGCCCCCAGCCACCCCTAGTGCTGGATGTGGTGCAAGGGAAGCAGCCCCCACTCCCACCCCAGACCTCTCAGGCCAGCGTCCAGGAAGCGGCACTGGGGGATTGCTCCCAGACTGTCAAGAACCCAGACTCTCCCAACCTACACCGCGGCCCCTCTCAGCAGACAGGCAGAGTCACAGGCACCCAGCAAGGGCTGGCTTTCCTACCAACAGCAGCTGTGGTTAGGAGCAAAAATAGATGGAGCAGCCTGGCCGGCTGCTAGATCTGGCTTGTTTCTGAAAAGACAAGAAAGGGGGAGGAAAAAAAGAAAAGAAGAAGAAGAAAGAAAGAAAATTCCCTGAACCAAGCAACTGCTCTCTTCACCCATCTCTGGACATCTTCAAAAGACAAACCCCAGCCGCCCACAGTGCCCCTGAGGAAGGCTGCAGATTCGTTACAGCCTGAGGCTCCTGTGAGGCTGAGGAGGTGGGGGGGAGCAGCAGGTGGCCTGAGGCTGTTTGTTCAGAAGGCTGTGTGTGTCCCCTGTCCTATGTCCTCACTACCCTCCCTGCTGGGGCTCCGGCCTGGCAGCACTCTGTGGACCATTCCACCCTGTGAAGACTCAGAACGTAGCACCACAGATGCTAAGAGGGAAGAGATGCCCCTGAATGGGGCTAATGGGCAGAAAAGGGAGATGCCCAGATTGCAGGTGTACCATCTGAGTAGATGGGTTACGTTTGGATCCAAGCCAAATTTGATGCCTGGGAAGGGAAATCCTTGCAGAGGGGCCACCGGCCAACTCTGACCCGGTCAGGGACTTCTCCGTCTCAGTTTCAACTGGAAAGATCGGGAGGTACTCCTGGTATAGGTGAAGGCCAAACCCTCCGTGTCCCTTTCCCAACACCCATCCCAGAGTCTCAGTGTCTATGGCTTTAGGAAGAATGTCACTGAGGTCAAAGGCCACCAGCTGTTCAAAGGCTGTGTAACTCCAGTTGGACGCTGCACCCCATTATCTGCCACTGGTTCTCACTGTTCAGCTTCCCAGACCCCAGACCTCTGCAGGTCTCACGGAGGCTCCACACAGCCAAGGTGCCCAGCATCTGCTCCCTTCCGAGGCTTGATGATGGGCTGTGGGTTCTCCACCCCCCCACCCCAACCCCTGCACCTCAGGGGCCAGAGAAGAGCAGCTCAGCTGATGAGATTCCAAGGCTTCTGGTCATACATGGCCTCTTTCTATTCCCGAGGCCTCCTGATGTCCAGGGGATTAGACAGGCTTGGGGATAAGAACTGGAAGGGAGCTTCTGTCCCTGGAGTGGCCACTGGGGCTTCCCAGCAGTCACCTACTTCACTGTTTTGAACAAAGGCCAAGGTTTAGGGAGCCCTGAACCAGTGCACGGGGATCCCTGTACCCATCACCGGGAGAGCTGGGGGTCGCTGATCAGAGCTTGAGGTGGTGGTTGGTGAGGCTGGAACAGGGAGGAGAAGGGGAAGAAGTCTCATCCTGACCCCTGCCCACCACCTGTGGCTCCTGGACCTGTGTCTAGGAGGTGGCTTCTCTCAGAGAGGCCCGAGTTGCTGAGCAGCTGAGAAGGGAGGGGGGCTCTCCTTGAACAGGGGGGGGCCCTTGCCTCCGGGTACCAGGTCCCCAGCTCTGTCTCCCCAGGCTGGTCCCTCAGATCTCAGTGGCTATGATGTCCTCGTAGGGGATGTCAGCTCCTTCCAGGTCAATCTCAAGGGGCTCCCCAGCCCCGTCCCCGCGAGCCAGCTGCTGCAGGGCCTTCTCCAGGCGCTGGTTGCGCTGGTACATGGCCAGGTAGCTCTGCTGCAGTTGCTTCTGGTACTGGATCACCTTCTCCTTCTCCTCCTTCCACACCTGCCGCTCCTGCTGGAAGCCCGAGGACATCTGGTCGTGGCCTTGCCTCTCCTCCTTCAGCTCTGCCCGCAGCCGCTCCAGCTCCCGCTGCAGGGCGGGGATGTCCTCCGAGAAGGTGGGCGTGACCGCCGGGCCCAGGGCGGCGCTCTCCCGCTGCAGGGCCGCCTGCGCGCGCAGCTCCAGCAGCTCCTGCTCCAGCAGGTTCACCTTCTCGCGAAGCAGCTCTGACTCGTTCTTCTTGCGCTGCAGCTCGTTCTCGCAGACCTCCAGCTCCAGGCCCTTGGTGCGCAGGGCGCTCTCCAGGTCCTGGGTCTTCAGCTCCATGCCCTCCAGCCGGCCCCTCGCGTCCTTCAGCTGCGCCTTCAGACTGAGGATCTCGCTGGCCTTGGCGTTCACCTCCGTCTGCGACTCCTTGAGCTGCTGTTTGAGGAGGGAGATCTCACCTGACTTCTGGCACACCTGCCGGGGTTGGGGGTGGAGAGAGAGTGCCAGACATCAGTGTCCTTGCCCCAGGGACATCTCAACTGCCTGAAGGGATCAAGCTGCTCCAGACAGGGGCTGCCTGGAGATACTGGTCCCAAGTCCGTTGCCTGGGCAACCTGGGATGGCCGAGCCCTGTTGGACGATCTTTTTGTTCTCCTGTGCATCTTGATTTCCCCAGGGTCCGAGTCCAGACCACAGTCTTTGCCCAAAGCCATGGCAATTGGCAACTCAGAGATCAGTGGTCTACTCTGCCTACTGCTGCCAACCCCATCACTCACTTTTGACACCAGTGGTGCTGGCTTCTCTGCCAAACCCTCTGACCTCACCCCTGCACGTACCCGGCCCCCTTCTCTCCTCTCCTGCTGCCCTGATGAACCCTGGTGGCTGGTACAACCTGTCGTGCCACCAGAGCACGAGCTACAGGCTTTCCCTGCTTTACTCCTCCACTGCCACACCTACAGCTCATCAGAGTTTGGCCAGACGCAGTGATGATTGGGAGGCTGAGGCAGAAGGATTGCAAGTTCAAAGCCAGCCTCAGCAGTTTAGATAGGCCTTAACTTAGTGAGACCTGTCTCTTCAAAAAAAAAAAAAAAAGCAATGATGAAAACCCAAGTCATGTGTTTCTGTCCAGCTGACTGTGTCTCAAGAATGAATAGAGGCCAAGGCCTGGACTCGGCAGAATGGACTCTTGGAACTCGTCTGGAGATCACCTTCATATTTTCTCACTTTCCCCTCCCAGAAGAAGCTCCTCCTTGCTCCCGAGGAAACACTGCTCAGTCTACAGGAGACTCACCTGCCAAGCATGGCTGAGGCCAAGAATCTCTTCCCAAGGCCAAGTGCTATGGGCTGGATCTTGAATGTCACCCCAAGGTCCATGCGTTAAGTGCCTGGTCCCCAAGGTGGTGCTACTGAGAGGTGGTGGAAGCTTTAAAAAGTGTCTTTAGATCATGTAGGGTGTGCCCTAGAAGAGGATTGTGGAGCCCTAGCCTCTTCCCCTCTCTCTCTCTCTCTCTTTGGGTCCCTGGTTTTGAGGTGATTTTGCTCCATTACACACTCCTGCCATGATGTGCAGCCTCTCTGTAGGCCCAAAGCAAAAGGGGCCAATTGATCTGGGACCTCCAAAACTGTGAGCCAAACACAACTTTTATTTTTATGAGCTGATTATCTCAGGTATTTTGCTACAGTGACAGAAAGCTAACTAACACGCCAAGCCGGCATTTGTTTCCTGGAGGGAGCAGCACAGAATCATGGTGAAATCATGGGCTAGCTTTGAACCTGACTCAGTGGCTTATGATATGGGTGATCCTGGACACATTAACATGGTGGAAATATGGTATGGCTATTGAAAATGTGAACTCTGGATCCATACCATTAGGATCAAATCCTGACTCTGACCTTAATATGTATCAGACCTTGGTCAGGTCACTTAACTTGCTGTTTGCTATTATAGACTCTCTGAGCCTCAGTTTTCTTAATTGTACATTGAGGAATAGTTACAATACCTACTGCAGAGAGTAACTGCAAGGATTAGAAGAGAGAACTTGGCACATAATAAGCTCTGTAAGTTAGAATAAGTAGGTTTAGAATGATGTCATCATCATAGCATATTATTAAGTCATTTTTATTATCATTTATTTTTTGCAGTACTGAGGATTAAATCCAGAGGTGCTCTACCAATGAACTATGTCCCCAGCCCTCACTAAGGCGGGCCTTGAAGTTGTGATGTTCCCAAGTAGTTGGGTTATGGGTGTGTCTGTCCACCATGCCCAGCCTATATTCTTTATTTAATTTTATTGTTTTAACAAGTACCCTGACTGGACAAGCGGGGAACAAGATAACAGCCATGTCCACCTAGTTGCTGACTGGACAAGGATGGAGACCGAGGGCCAGTACTCACTATACATCTCTGTGAAGTTCCAAAGTGGCTGAGAACAAGGGCTGGGGTGGGTCTGCTGTGGCCACACAGATGGGAAGAGGACAGGTGTAGCTGGATAGAAGAGACCCTCCCTTCTCACCTGGCCAGTTCCCCTCCCATCTCTCCCATGTCACCTCACTGTCCAGGACCAGGGTAGGGCTCTGAGGCGATCAGATTCTGCTGAGGGTGGGCCACCCCACCTTGGCCTGCTGCTGGTCTAGACACAGGGCCCTCATCTTCCCCAGGCAGGGTGCTTTAGGGCCAAGGACATCGATGCTGAGTGCACAACCCACCTGCCCTCCCACCCCCTGGGACTGTTCAGAGGAGAGAGGCTGCATCCCGACCAGTGGGGTGCTGTGCCCCAGCGTCTCCATCGCTGGTCCAGGTGGTCTGGAGTGTGTCTGAGTGTGTGTGTGTGCACATGTGTGCATGCAGGTGTGCTCTTTTCCCTGCTCTGCTGTGTGCCCCTCTCAACTCACCAACCCCGGGCTCCACTCACACTTCTGCCAGGAGGGCCTCCTTCCACTGCTGAGACCTGGCACTACCTGGCCGCTCTTATGGGTGGGTGGGATCCTTTTCCTTAAGTCCAGCCAACAACTCCCACTCTCTCTTGGGTCCTGGGACCTGATGAACCAGGTGTCCTTTTGAACTTCTGGTCAGCAGAGGAAGTGAGTTCTGCCCTCAGACAGCCTGGCTAGGCCTCCGGGTCTGGGTTCCCCAGTGACTCAGCCGGTAAACTCAGTTCCGGGGGCCACGGGGGTGATGGTGGAGACAGAGGAGGGAACCGGGAGCTGAGTGCGTCCCCATCACAGTTAACCAGGGAGCCCCTTCCCTGGGTCACAAAGCTGGCCCTTTAGTGTATGCGGACAGGTGCACCTCACCTCCCACTGGGTCTCCTCCAGTGCCGGGGCCAAGTTGGTCTTCTCGCGCTCGTAGGACCTGAGCTTGGTCTCCAGTAGGTCCTGCTCCTTCATGAGGCTCTCGAGCTCCTGCCGCAGCTGCCACTTCTCCTGCTGCAGCTGCAGCACCTGCAGGTGCAGCACTTGCTGCGTGCGCTGGTTCTTCTGCGAGGCCTGCTTCAGCTTGCTGCTGCTCTTGGGCTCGGGGCCCTCCGGATCGTCCCTGCTGCCGTCCCTGCTGCGCCGGGCGCGCTCCTCTGAGGCCGGGCCCGAGGCGAACTCCTTCTCCTCAAAGCTGCGCTGCAGCTTCTGCAGCGCGCCCTCCCTCTGCCGCAGCTTCTGCTCCAGCTCCTGGACCGTGCACTCGTCCGTGGAGATGGGGGAGCGCACGCACGAGGAGCTCTTGTCCGCCTTGGCTGGGTGGGCCAGCTTGCTGCCCCCGTCGGAGAACGACAGAGCCTTCAGGCTCATCATGTTGCTGTCCTGCAGGATGATGCCCTGCGTGATGTTGTGTGCCGAGCCCCCGAAACGGCTGGTGGGCCCCACGGGCATGACCAGCGGGTCCAGCTGGTAGCTGCTGCTGGTGCTGTGCGTGGGCAGGCTGGACATGGAGTTCCGGCCCGAGTCGGACAGCGCCCCAGAGCACAGGCCCGGCTTCAGCTCCTGCTCCTTGGGCTTGTCCGGAGGGGCCAGGTGCAGCTGGTGGCTGGCACTCTCGGGGGAGGAGTGGAGGACGGTTCCCGAACGCGGCAGCACGGGTTTGAAGGCCGTGGGCCTCACTGCCCCCTTGTCTGAGCCCTGGGGAGGCAAAGAACCATATTGACCTCGAGTATTTCCTCTGGCTCTGCCCTCCTCTTCCTCCCCATGGGGTCTGTGTGCCGACCTCCCAAGGCACAGGAGCTCAGAGCCCAGGCGGTACCCTTCTTGGTCAACAGCCTTGCTGGCCTATTGCGGTGACTGTCTGCAAGGGAGGAAATCTTCAGTACCTGGGGAATGTCCTTAACAGTTGTCCTTTACACTAACTTAACAGGCACTGTTCTATGACACAGCAACCTGCCGACAGCCTGTCCCAGCCCCTTTGAGAAGACAAATGCCATTTATGTTCACTGACTGAGATGTCAGCTGCTGCTCTGGGTGTATGAGGTCAAGGCACTGGGCTGGACAAGCAGGGGTCCATGTGTGTTGGTCAATCCCTCTTGCCCTTGTGGCCACTTCCGGTCATCCTGCAGCAAGAATGCTAACACATTCTCTGCTCGGCTGGGAGGATCACTGGGAACAATAGCCCTCTTTTAAACTTGTAATTTCCATAGGTAGAGTCCTTTCACATTGTTTAACAGGCTTCAAGATTTATGCAAACATAACGGGCCCTTTCCTAGTACAGGTTGAACTGAATCAGAATATCCCAAATCCAAGATGCTAAAGATTCAGAAACTTTTTGAGACCTGACATGGGGCCCCAAGTGGAACATTTCACATCATGAAATTTCATTTGTGCACAACTTATTAAAAACGCTGTGTAAAATTACCTTCAGGCTCTGTGCATAAGGTGTACATGAAACAAAAAAATTCATGTTTTGACTTGGGCACCATCCCCAAGACAACTCATTATGTCTACATATATATTCCACCTCTGGTCCTCAGTATCTGGTCCTTGGATAAGGGATACTCAACCTGTATATCAAAGCCTTGGATCTGTTCCTACAAGACGGACAGGAACTGGACAGGAAAATTGTTTTCAGTGTCTACTATGGGGACTTACGAGTGCTTGAGCTGGCATAAAGCCTAGACTTCTGAAATCCCAGGACTCTTTGCCTACATCATTGTTAAACAAAATCCCAGTCCTTATTGAGCTAAAGATGCCTCCAGGCCTGGCTTGATCAAGGAGCTACTGCACCTGGGCAGCAAATGAGAAGACTCACCTCCAGGAGTCTGCAGGAGGGAGAAGATACTGACTCCTTCCAGCTGCTCTTGTAGATGACAACAGACCCCCCCCCCATCTTTGCCTTTGAGAATGTAACTGGTTGTCCTACCTTGACAGTCCAGGCACATCCCTGTACAGCTCAGAGAGGCCTGAATTTCCCCTTGGCTCTTTGCTGAAGAGCTGACCCATGACTTTCAGCTCAGGGGGACCGACCAGCTTTCATTCCTTGACCAGCCTTTGATCTGGGATGAGGCTGAGCTTTCCCCCCTCACCCCTGCTGCTTCGGCCTCCTGGAGAGAGGTGACCATTGGACCTTTCTCTGCTTCTTCTCTTCCCACCCAACTCCCGTCCCCCCTCCCCCTACTCCTGTCCCCCTCCCTTGCCAGGACCCCCACTTACCATTTCTAGCTGATTGGAGAAGGGCATGAGCTTGGGTGGAGTGGATGGGTCAAAGTCCACCCCAGCCTGGCCCCCGATGTCCCCACTGGACAGTGCCGTGTAATCTGGGCGGTGGGAGCCCCGGGCCTTCTGGCTGACCTTGATGTAGAAAAAGTCCTCGCTCTTGCCCATTTTGGAGCTGGACTTGCCGTGACTGGAGTCCTGGGAGAAGCCGAATCTCAGCAGCCCATCAGAGTACCGGTTGAGCTTCTTGAGGTGGGAGGACTTGCGCAGCTTGTACTGCGAGGCCCGGCAGTGCTTGCTGTGGAAGCTGTGGCCGGAGATAAGGCTGCTGACGCTGCCCATGGTGACCCGGGGCCAGGGACGGGCAGGGCGGGGCGGGGGCCTGTTGCGGCGGTGGCAGCGAGGGGTGACGCTGGCTCCGCGAGGGGGCTGCAGTCATAGCAAAACTCTTGCAGAGCCTGGGAGAACCATGGACCTGGAAGGAGGTGCAGACAGAGGTCAGCCTGGGCCGGGCCGGGCACTGGACACACATTGATTTCAGGAGGGCAGCAGAGAAACGTGGGCAGATGCCAGCAGGAGCCCCCCTCGGGGCGAGGAGCTGTTCTACACACTGGGGTGTCCATCAGAGCCCCAAACACTGAGCTCCTGCGACTTCGGCTCAGCGTGCAGTTGACAGGCCACACACAAGTCAATGATCTCAGAGCCCAAGAGGAGCCAGGATGACAGAATTGAAGGACAGGCTTGTTCCACCAGTGGAGGGCTCTGGTGTCCCTGTATCCCCATACCGGGGGCTTAATCCCCAAAGTCAGAGGGTAATGGTGTCAGAAGGGAGGCCTTGGGAGGCTGTTGAGGGTGGGGCGTTTGTGGTTTTTTAAGAAGAGGAACAGAGACTGGCAAGGTCGCTGTCAGCACCACCTGGGGACCCTGCAGAGCCCCAGCAGCAAGAACACTCCCACCTGTGTTCTTACCCAGTTTGTGGTCTTCTGTTACAGCAACAGAAAACGGACTCAGGGAGTGTAAGGGAAGTGTCTCCATCAGGGTAGCCTTTAAGAACTCAAGAAAATGAAGGGCAAGCCATGTGGAAATCTGGGGGGACAGAGCTCACCAAGAGGGACCCCACATACCAGGCCCTGAGGCTCTGCGGCAGATTGCGCCTGGCTCCCTGAGATCAGCGGGGAGGCCAACCTGGCTGGAGAAGCAGCAGTCAGGGAGCCAGCAGGGGCCCTTGGCTGCAAGGACATTGGCTTGACTCTAAGTGGAGTCCCAAGGGGCTCTATGCAGCCAGCAATTTCATCTGACATGCTGGGAAGGTCACTGTCCACAGCTGGGTGGAGAAGAGGCGAGTGAGGGGCTGGGACAGAACTGGGGGGCCAAGAACGTGAGTGACTAGTGCAGCCATCTTGGGGTGGCAGATGTGCATTAAATTTTAGATACAATTTTAAAATTGAGCTGATAGAATTTGCAAAAGGATGGGGTATAAGGAAGTGAGAAAAAAAGAAAGGAATCAATAATGTTTTTAAAAATAGAAGAAAAAAAAACAATAAAAAAATTTTGAAAAGAATGACAAAAAGAATGCCTAATGTTTTTATCCAAGCAGGCAGAAAGGCCACAGACGGAGCCAGTGTAGGGGGAAGTAGAAATTTGGTTTAAAACAGTAAGTTTTCAGCCCATTTGGCATCCAAGGAGTGATGAGGTACATGGCACGAGGAAGTGAGGGAGGAAGTAAGAGAGGAAGTGAGAAAGGAAGTGAGAGAGGAAGTGAGGGAGGAAGTAAGAGAGGAAGTGAGAAAGGAAGTGAGAGAGGAAGTGAGGGAGGAAGTGAGGGAGGAAGTGAGAGAGGAAGTGAGGGAGGAAGTGAGGGAGGGAGTGAGGGAGGAAGTGAGGGAGGGAGTGAGGGAGGAAGTGAGGGAGGAGTTGGAGCCACAGGCAGATAATGGCAGGTGTGGGAGCCGCTGCAGAAAGACAGGAGGAGTCCGAGGACTGGAGCTCCAAGAGGTCAGGAGGCGAGAGAGGACGGAGGGAGAGCACTGAGGAGCCCTGGTGGGCAGGAGGACACCTGAGGCAGGATGAAGGAAGGAATTTCCCACAGGGATGGTGTCACCGGCTGGGTGACTAAGTGACATGCCAGCTGGGAGTTGGTCAATGGATGTGGTGGGGTGGAGCTCACTGGTGACCTGACAAGAGCAGATTTGGTGGTGGGGTGGAAGAAAAGCCACCTCAAGTGGTAGAGGGTCCATGAGAGAAAGAGGGAAAGAAACGGTGGCCTTGAAGGTTGAGAAGCTGGTGACAGACTTGAAGTGGACTCCCAGTCACACCACGGCCAGCCATGACAGGGAGGTGAGCTACCTACGATTTTGCACCTGCAGTTTTGCAAACTCATTCTAAAACATAAAAGCTTTCAGAAAAGTTAGAGGGCCTCTCTCTCTCTCTCTCTCTGTCTCAATTTATTCTTCTACTTTTGGGGGGCTAGGGATGAACCCAGCGCTTTGCACACACTAGGCAAGGGCTCTGTCACCAAGCTACACCCCAGCCCTTCTTATTTCATTGTGAGATGGTGTCTCCCTAAGTTGCCCAGGTTGGCCTTGAACTTGAGATTCTCCTGCCTTAGCTGCCAGAGGAGTTGGGATGGCAGGTGTGTGCCATCCTGCCCCACCGAGGGCCACCTCGTACAGTCAGTGCTTCACCATTCACAGCAACCTTGTCAGTCACTGGACAGAGAATGAACGGGGATGTCAGTGCCTCCCGCATGCAGGTTGACGAATCGCTAAGCACAGATCACGTGATTGTCAAGGGGGAAGGCAGTGTGAGCCCCAGGCATGCGGAAGGAGAGTTTCTCAGTCAGGAGACAGAGGAGCCATCAAGGGAAAAACAACCCACCCCCACCCCCACTTCATAAAACCAGAGGTGCAGAAGGAATCCGTGTTCTTTGTTTTGCTCTAGATTATCCTGTCCATCTCAAAGGAGCCAGAGCAGCCCTGGGTGGCCACGGGAGTTGCGTGTGCCGGGCTGAAAGAGTCAGAGGCTCAGACTGAGCATTAGCGCCTGCGTCCAGACTTGGGTTGCTTCCCAGAGAACACAGAGGCTGTGTTAGGAGTAAGGGTCTTCTATCTTCCAGGAGCAGGAGCACAACACAACCAAACTTCACCCTGTGAGTTCGAGGCATGCTCTTACCTGAAGAGCTTTTGTTAACTTGACGGCCTCTTAGATTCATAGGGTCACTGGGAAAATTTCATGAAATGCCCTGAATAGATGAGCGCTCTGTGACATTTATTGAATGCGGAGTAGGTCCTAGGCGCTCTGCAGCGGCAGGCATTTTCATTGGTCTCTGTTATCTGTGTGATCAGCCTTCCCACCCCGTCTCTCATCCCTGTGCTGTCCTCAATATCCACACTGCTTTTTCTAGAACCACTTTTATTTTCCAAAAAGCAACTTCCCTGCCTCCCATCCCCCCTCGGAGCTTCCTGGGAGCGCAGAGTTCTTCCAGTGACCTAACAGTTGGCACTGAAAGATGTGATTTTTTTCCCCCCTAAGTCATCCTTCTGTAGCTCGGCTCAGAACTCCAGGGCCAACTCTTCTATTGCAGCTCACACAGGGAAGCGACGCTATGCATCGTACCACTTGGGCAACTGGCTTCTTACTTTTCGTCACCCAAGAAACACTTATGAGCACTTCATACATAGTGTCTCAGGGGCCTGGCTGTTGGCGTCTCTGAGCCAAGCACAGTGGGGCATGCTAGTAAATCCAGCAACTTGGGAGGCTGAGGCAGGAGGATCACAAGTTCATGACCAGCCTCAGCAATTTAACTAGGCCCTAAGCAACTTAGTGAGTCCCTGTATCAAAATAAAAAAAAAAAAAGATGGGACTGGGGTTGTAGCTCACTGGCAGTGTGCTTGCCTAGCTTATGTGAGGCACAGGGTTTGATCCTCAGCACCAAGTATAATCAAATAAATGAATAAAATAGAGATATTGTGTCCTTCTAAAACTAAAAAAAAAAAAAAAAAAAAAAAAGAGCTGGGGATGTGGCTTGGTGGTTAGGCACCTCTGGGTTCAATCCCCACTACCAAAAAAACAACAACAAAAAAAAAAACAAACAACCCAGAAACAAGACAAGACCAACCTTTCTGAGCTTTCTTCGTTATAAAATGGAAATCCGAACTTTAAACACATCCAGTACAAAGACAAAACGCTAGCAGGAGTGAAGTGCAAAGTGTGGCACAGGGTAAGTGCTTATGGCTGGGATGTGTGCGGGATAAACAGAAAGATAAGTTTTCCAGAGGCCTGCAACACAGACGAGGTAAAGAAGCAAAAGTGCTAAATGAGCCAGGCATGGTAGCACTTGCTTGTAATCCCAGTGACTTTGGAGGCTGAGGCAGGAGGATCAGAACTTCAAGGCCAGCCTCAGCAACTTAGCCAGATGCTGTCTCAAAATAAAATTTTTTTTAAAAAGGGGGGGCGTGGCTGGGGATGTGGTTCAGAGGTTAAGTGTCCCTGATTTCAATCCCCAGTATCTGCCCCCCCCCAAAAAAAGCCAAATGAATCTGTGGCTCTGCTCTTCTTACCTCTATCTCTTCTCAACTGGACCTTGAAACAGCCTCCAAATGTCTTTCCCGACTATTTGACACACTCCTCTGAAGTGTGAAGGCCATAGTACTTCCTTATGAAAACCTTTTCAGCCTTCCCAAGTTCTCAGAGTAAAACACAGATTCCTCCCCACACCCTGCAAGCCAGGGCAGCCTGGGTTCCTCCTGCTGCTCCCACCTGATCACACACCATCCTTTCCTCCTCGGTGATGACCCCCTCACCTCCCGGTGGTTGAACACGCGAAGCCTCTTCCCACCCAGAGCTGGGGCGCCTGCTGTTGTTCTGGCTTAGAACTCTCTCTTTGCTCCTCTGGCAGATCAGATGGCCCTTTCCCATCCTTCAGCTCTCAGCTCGAGCCTCACCTCGCCTCTGGAAGGAAGGTGTTTTTCTCTAGTTACCCGTGAAAAGGTCGGGCTCCTCCCCTGCTTTCTGTCTTACCAACCTATTTATTTCCTGGGCAATACATACTTAACCTATAATAAATACTCTCATTCTAAAACCCAGCTGTTTGAGTACGTCTTCATCAGACTCTGAGCTCTGTGACAACAAAGGCTTTGGAGATTTTAGAACAAAAGTGAGAAGATGAGGTGCCAACTCAGAGAGGTGCCATGTCACAGCCCCAGTGGCTCAGTTGACCAGTGACCAACACGGGATTTGAACCTGCACCCAAATACCTCATTTGCCAGCCATAGCATGACAGTAGGCTCAAAGATGTTTGGGTTCCCATCCTAAAGAGCAAAGAGAGTCCCCAGGATTGGGGGAGAGCATGCCCACAGGAGAAATCACATTCTGCTGCCTCCGGCCAAAGCTTCATTTCCTCTGTGGACAAATGTCAATCAGATCTTAGGTGACTTGAGCTCCATCCACCCGAGCAGCACCCAGGTGGCTTGAGGT